TGGGGTCTGAACCCCACACTGACTCTTGGTTGGGGCACCACTCAGTCTGGCCCCATCCTCGGAGTTGGCCAGTGTCACGGGGCGTCCTGCTCCCAAAAGCACAGACCCTCCTTCTCCCTCGGGGCTGCACTGCCAGGGCCAAGGCCCTTTTCCTCCCCAACGGTACTGGAACCGGCAGCAAGGATGCTGCAGTAGATAAGGCCTGACCGAACGTATCCCCCGGACACAGTCACAGTGCTCCACCAGGGCAGCCACCCCCCAGGCCAGTCCTCTGACACACCACCTCCTTGATGACCTTCTGCAACTCAAGGTATGTATGTGAAATGAACCAAAGACTATGTTTAATTTCCAACCTCAAAAGTCTCCCCCAAGACTGATGTGTTTCCCTTGACCTACCCTAAAAACCTGGACAGCCACCCAATTTCTCCTTTCACCTTGGCAGCTAGGAGACTCAAAACTCCACCTAAAGTTCGGTGCAATAGGTGTCACATCAGGCCCTAGAGGCAGTGAGCCTGCAAGCATGGCTGCTAAGCTGTTTTCCACCTCTCCTTTTGACTTTCCTGGCACATGATTGCCCCAGGGGTGGCTTCAAGTCCTTCTTGGTAAACACAAAGAACAAAGACTCAAGCAACCCACAGAGCCAAAAACCGAACCGGTATTTTCCAAGCTCGCCAAAGAGAGCGGCCCCAATCCATCTGCGTTTCGATCGCAGCCACTCACCAGGCGGATGAGCTCTGGAAGGACATCAGTGGTGGGCTGTGGCTGGCGCCCCGTGGTGTGTGCACAGCCTGGGGGGCTTGCGGCAGGGGGCCCGGGGGAGGCTGGGGCTGTGGGCCGGCTGCCCCTGCTGAGGGGCCCGGGCGGGGCTCCCCCACCGCCGGGGGTCCTGCTTCATCCACCGCCCATGGATACCCCACCGTGCCAGGTAGAGCTTGCAGAAGTCGTAGTTCACTGCCGAGTAGTACAGGAGGTCCAGAGCCAGCAGCGTGAGCACGAAGAAGCCGTAGATCCACACGCCCAGCAGGGCGGGGTAGTTGCTGTGGAAGGACAGACAGATGGCGCGACTGAGTGAGGACAGGTGGCCAGAGTCCACCAAGGGGCAATTAGAGATCACGTTGAGGGCACTGGTTCGCTGACCCCCACCTGCCCTGGCTACCTCCTTCCCTGGAACCCACTGTCCTGTGCTGTCCCCTTGTCCCCTGGCTGAGATCCCTGTGGGTCCTGCACTGCTAGGTGCTTTGCAGGGCATCCTGGGCCTGGTGACATGGTGGCCCTGCCTCACCTGGCACCTCCCTCCACAGCTGGGTGCTCCTTGCCTCTGTGTATACCACGCTGTCCACTCTGGGTCTTTTCCTCTGCTCTTCCTTCTGCCTAGGACACCCTCTCCCCACGCCTCTGGCACGTCACCCCGACTCCCTTCCAGAACGCCAGACCCCCCCCACACCCCAGAATTCTCTTTCCAAGAGCCCAGGATTCAGCATCAACTCAGCACCTGCCCACAGCCCACCTGCAGTCCCATCAGCCACCTGCCCCCACTGTGTCCCCTCCTCATTCTGACTGCATAGTGGGGTCTCAGTCCCCCCATTTCTCTTATTCATTCACCCAACATTTCCATACCAAGGGCTGCGCCCTCCCCCAACAAAGATAACGAGAGCCTGTGCGCTTTGCTGGGCAGCCCTTCCTTCCTGCCCATCTCCTCCTGGCCCCCTGCTGACCACCACCTCCCCCAGGAAGCCTGCAGACTCTTGCCCTCCCCTGGTGCCCATCCGTAAGCCTTGCCTGACCTCAGCTGCCCCCTCAGGAGGCTGGGATCTGAGCCCCCAGCTGGGCTTGTGTCTGGGCCTGCCATTACAGCTGGGCAGCCGGGGGCCACACAGCGCACTCCAGGGACTGTCGCTGTTTAAAGGCACTGATTTATTAATTACTCAAATACTGCTTCCATCCGACCCCTGCCCTGGGCATTTGCTTGGGTGGCGGCAGCAGGAGAAAGGCTAACCAATTCAGAGGAGCGGAGCCAGGGTCCAGTGTCCAGACTGTGTGTGCTGCTGCCCCCACCTCCAGGAAGGATGGCAGCCTGCCCCAGAGAGGCCCCTTGGGTACAGCAGGCCCTCCCAACTCTTCTGAAGCTAGGGTGGTGACTGCTGCATCCAGGAGAGTTGCTTTGCTGTGTGGCCTGGGGGAGCCGTTGCCCATCTCTGGGCCTGGAGGACAGGACGCTGAGGCCTCTCCCACCTTTAGCTTCCAGGCTTGGATCTTCCCAGGCTCAGGTCGGTCCTGTTTTCCTCCCTCACAGGGCCAGGTTCTTGGACTGAAGACTCCCTGGGAGGTGGGAGCTCTGGGGGCCCCTTGACAGAGATTTCTATACATCCTGAGCACATAGCTGGAGCAGTCTTAGCTCAGGGCTCAGAAGTTAGTACCTGCTTGAGGACTGAGAACCCCTCAATTCCAAACCACGTCAGTCCCTGCTGGAGCCCAACCTTCCAGCCACCACCACTGCAAAGTCTGCAGGATCAGTTTGGTGGGCTTGTTCATACTATGGTGTGAATGACTGACAGTTGAGCCCTGGTAACCTTTTTTTTTTGAGGTGACACTGGCTTCGCCCAGAAGCATCTGGACATTGAATTCCTTCAAGGGAGAAGAGGCCAGAGGCCAGCAGCCTGACTCAGCATGCTGGGGCAGGAGTGTCAGGGTAGAGAGACGTCCACACAGACAGAGGAGGCAGCCCGGCTCGGGTCCTGTGCTCTCCCCAGTGTCCTCTCTCCTGCAGCCCCCACAGAACGGCTCCAAGTGCCAGGCTTCTCCCTGGTGGTTCCCATGGCAGCAGCCTGGGGGCTGAGTGGGGGCAGGGCCACCATTGCAGATGCTTCCCAGCAGAAGGCCGTCCCGATGCCAGCCGGGGTGGCGTGGGCCCTCGGCCAGTCTGGAACCACCGAGGCTCAGAAATGAGTGGAAGGGAAGCTGTCCCTGGTGCTTGGGCCCCTCGCCGCTCTGTAGTAGCCGATATTCACAGTGATGCAGGAGAGAATGGCGTTCCCTGACTTAAGGTAGGAAACCAGGCCTGTGGGAATCAAGGACTTATTAGCACGCCCCAGCCATGAAGTTGCAGGACCTGGATTTGAACTCTGCGGGGGAGCCCCAGGACCTAGGCATACCACCCTGGAGGGCACTGTCCAGTTCTCAGGGCACAAGCTGCCCTAGCTTGTTCGGACACCTGTCCCCGGGCCTTTGTCCACACTGCTTCTCTGCCTGCGCACTTCCCTCTTGTGCACCAAGTGGGAGGGCCTGGCCTGGGCCTCGGCTCAGCCATCGCCTCCTCCAGGGAGCCTTCCCTGAGCCCCATGTAGGTCCAAGCCCTCCCCGGGCTGCCAAAACCACTGCCCTCCCAGAACACACAGCAGTTTTTGCAGTCATACAGGACTTCTGCCCTCGGACTGGGAACTCCTCAGGGCAGGTCAGGGGTCCACCTTGCCCTTGTGCCCTGCACTGGGCACAGACTACCAATGGCATTGCTCAAGCTAACCCCCAGCGAGAGCTTATGATGAGCTGGGGGCAATGGCAGCCTTGATGTCACCAGCCACTTCACTAGGTTTTATGTTCTGTGTGTCACTAATAGCCAAGAGTAACAGGGTCAATCACAATGGACTGGTGCCTGAAGCTTCTGATCCTAACACAGCGCCTTGAGTTGGCAGCCATGGCCTCCACTTTGCAGGTGAGGAAATGAGGTCCTCTGAGAGGCCAAGTCGCTTGTCACACAGTTGGTAATTACTGGCACTGGGGTTTGGACCCAGGTCCCTGTGAGACCTGAGCGTGTTTTCTTGGGAAAACACTAAGGTCAGCTCTGAGATGGACATCCGGAGAGGGCTCCTCCACCTCTGCCTGCTGTGTCCACTCATCCTGGCTCGGCCTCTCTGGGGGCCCTGGGGACAAGATCCCATCCTCCATCCTCTGAGCATCCGGCAGAGCAGAGGGTCACTGTGGCTTGTGCATGCCCGCCGGGCCCAGGATCTCTGCAGCCAGCTGGCTTGAATCCACACCCGAGGTGGCCGGCTCATCGTGCACCTGCCCCAAGTGCGGCCTGCGCCTGTGCTGTCCCCTTCCCTGCCACGGAGACACCTGGGGGTGGCAGGCTGGGAGCCCGGCCACCAGCGCTGGTCCCCAGCAGCTCTCTTATCCCCTCCCGGTGGGCAGCCCACTGGAAAGAGGCAGGTCTCTTTTAGTTTTTAACATTTAATTCAAATATGTGATCTGGAAATGAATTCCATCCAGATGTGGGGGCTCGGTGCGTGTGTTGTAAAGGGTGGCAGATGAAAGGCGCGCCGCCCGCCGCACTGTATTTTGGGATATTTACTGAGTCACATTCCTCTGGTGTTTCCTAAGCAATAAACAGAACCTTCCTGATCGGGGAGCTGCACCATGCGTCTCCCCGGGGAACAGAGCGCTGATGTCAACAGCCGGCCCAGCTGCAGCCGGGGCTGGGGATGGAAGTCCCCGTCCCCAGCCACAGTCACATTGGAGGGTGGTGGGGGGAAACTCAAGGTTAGGAGGAGACAGCAGCTTCAGTGTCCCTGGCCGGCAGGCTGGGTGGGCCTGACCGGTGGCCCCCTGCCGAGCTCATCTACAAGACAGGAACATTGAGCCCACTGCAGGAGTGGCCGGTCAATGCCACAAGGTTGCAAGCTGGTGACTAAAACATGGGCCCAAGAACTCAGAATCTCATGGATCCAGCTCTGCAGAATTTTCAACCTGTGCTCCTGGGAACCTGAGCTTTGGTTTCCTTATCTGTGAAAGGGGGGTAACTGTGCTCCCCACTGTGTGGTGTGACTACGAGGCTTCGTGAAATAATTTAGAAAAAGAAAAACAGAGAGGGCTTGCTCAATGGATCAAGGCCCAGAGAGGCCAAGTGCCTTGCCCTAGGCCACACAGCAGGACAGATGTAGTCCAGTGCATTGCCAGGCAGCGTGGGCTCTGGGCCCCGGGGAAGCCAAGTCTGGTCCTACCAAAATGCTCACTACCCCTCCGTGGCAGAAGTCCTAGTGGGGTCAGCTGCTGTGTGTCTCCCTGCACCACTGGTGACCCTCTCTGGGCCTTAGTCCTAGCTTGGCCACATAATGGCCAACAGGCTACGCCAGGGCAGAGGCAGGGTATACAGAACAGTGCTCTGCACACCTCCTATGCCAAGGCAGCTGGACACCAGGGATGGGACTCAGACCCGGTCCCTGGACAAGTCAGTGCAGGCCTCCATCCAGGGCTGAGGCAGGGTAGCGTGTGCTGGGCACAGCGTCGGCCAGTGCAACGTGAGCAATGGTGCCATGGCCATTCATGTGACATCAGCTCAAGCCCCAGGGATTTGGGGACGTTCATCGCCTCGGCTCAATCAAGCCTGATGATTGTGTCCTTGTGTGCTGTGTGGCTCCAGGCAGGCTTTCACCCTCTCTGGGCTTCAGTTCTGGGGAGTGGGCAAGCAGGACCTTGTTCACAGGAGCCTGATTCAGGCCTTGGGTTCAGGTGGGTCCTCACAGTTATCCCTTTGCTTCCCTTCCCTGGCTGACAATTCTAGAACTCTGTGGTCCACATGACGATGATGGCGAGTACAGAAGTTTACACCTAACAGGTCTCGCAAGGTTTCGCGATGGACAAGACAGTTCAGTGACTTCTGAGTGCGCTCCAGGCTGGAGTTGGAGCTTGAAGTGTGTAAGCAAGATGCTGAAAGGCCTGTGAGACTGCATCTTGTACCGACAGCCACAAGCTGCTTCAACCGTGACCTCTCGGGGGCAGGGGACTCATGGGCAGTCAAGGGAAGAGTGTGTCATCGGCAGAGGCCTCAGACCTCTTCTTAGGGCTGGACCTGTCCTGGGAGAACCAACCATGCCCTGTGTGTGCCCTGTCACACTCCAGCCCTGGATGGAGGCCTCAGCTGATTTGTTCAGGGACTGGGTCTGAGTCCAGTGCTGGTGCCCAGTTGGCCTGGTGAGGGGGAGGGGTGCTACTCCCCACACTGTGACCTCCACCTGGCCAGCCTCAGTGGGCCTTGGCTGCCTGAGTGGCTGGAAGTAGACATCTTGCCGTGGTGGGGGCTTGGCGAGGCGGCTTCCTCTCTCTGCTGCCTGCCTTTCTGCCAGGCGGCCAGAACCACAACAAACTGTTCTGTTCTTCCAGAAAAACACAAATAAATAAGGCATCAGTGCGCTGCCTGCTCCCGCCACCAGCCCAGATCCTGGCTGACTCACCAGCCTGGGGGTGGGGGCCGGGCAGGGCAGAGCTGCTAACTGCGCCCCTCTGGGGTCAACTCTGGGGACTATGAGACCCCGGCCTCTTGGCTGAGATCTGACACGGTCTCCAACATCAGACAAGTCTTCCTTTCTGGACTCAGTCCAGCAGGGAGGCGGGGGGAGGCAGAACAAGGACTCCAGAGTCCCTCCACCTTGACCTGTCATTACCCACGTGGTGTGGGACAGGGACCTCACCAGCCTGTGCCTAGCCCCTTCCTTCTTCCTCCCAGAGTAGCTGTGAGGATGAACGAGACTCCATGCCTGGAGAGTCCACAGGTACCATGTTATAGCATCTGTGGATGTCCAGAGTCCTCTTGGCCCTTGTCCCATGCACTGCCCATGTGGCACAGGGGCCAGGAGCCCCCAAGACTGTCTGCCCCCCAGTGTCCTTGCACATCGTACTCAGTCACAGGAACTTTACCCTGAGCGCCCTGCCCTCTGGCTGCCCAGGGTTCGTACCCTCTTAAGTGGGTCTGGATAGCCCTCACCTCCCTCCGTGAGGAACACTGGCCACAGGAAAGGCTGGAAAGTCCACCCCTGCAAAGACTCCCCAAGAGCCCAGGGTCCCCAAATCCCTGTCTGTGGAAAGAGGAGGTGGTAGGAAGATGGCTGGAGAATTACAAGGGAAGGAGTCTCTCTAGGGCGGTAGGTCTCAAATGTGGGTGATCCTCCCAGTGTCAGGAGATGCTGTTGTCATCAGGTTGGCAATGAGGCTGCTCCTCAGAGTCCTACAGCTGACCCCGCAGCAAAAAATGACCTGGTCTCCAATGTCAGGGCACCGTGCAAGCGATCCCTGCCTGGGCCTCTCCATGCTCAGGTCTTTCTTCACTGGGAGAAGCTCTAAAGTTAGTAAAGTGACTTTCAGATCTCCTGGGCTGGCCCTGGCTCTGCAGCTGAGCCTCCAGGCAGCACACAGCTCCACGGCTCCCTGCTTCATCGTCCTCATGTGTGAAAGGGACAAGAACGAGCAGACAGGTGGCCTCTGCGACAAGGTATGATCAGAGTTGGTTAGCACAGAATCTTCCCTGCACCGTGTGCTCCCAGAATGCTTCGTAAGGTGAGTGAACAAAAAGTGGAGTTCAAATTCTCGGGGGAAGCCTGCATTCTGGGGCCCAAGAATTCAGCAGCAGCCACCAGGCCGCTGTGCTGAGACGGTGGTGCGTTCCGTGCGAAATCCTGTGTCTGCAGATTATAGAAACCTGTGGGCTTCCAGAGAGGCTCCCAGACACAGGCGCCAGACCTCGGGGAAGTCTGCTTGCTGTGCCAAGCTCCGTCTAGCTTTTGCTGATGCCTACAGCACTCAGAGTCCCAGCCCCAGGCCTGGCACTGCCCTCCTCCCTCGGGAATGACCTTTGGTCATATAAAAGGCTGGGGTCGAGTTCCAGGCCCTGTTCCAGCCCTGCTGAGGTGGACAGTGCTCGCTGAGCATTTCACACACAAAATTATTCTAAGGCCTGAGCAGATGGCAAGATATTCAAGGGAAGCACTGTGGCTTCGAGGGAGGAGGGCGGGGAGCTGGTCTAGGAGGAAGGAGGGGAGGTTTGGACCATAGTCAAGCTTGCATCTCCTGTCCAACCAAACGGAAAAGGCACCTTCCCCAGAGTGAGCTGAGAGTGGCAGCAAAGCCTCAAGCTCCAACATCAGAGATGGAGGCTTGACCCCTCACCCCCACTCCTGGTGCTACTGCTAATGCCTTCAATAGTCACTCAACAAAGACTTCTTTCCAGCCCATTTTTCCTACCATGAAACAAACACATCCTCCCCTAGAGTTAGGAAAATATTTGAAGCATCCCATGAAAGTCAGGAGGAAAATAAGAATGACTGTTTTTTAGAGGTACTAGCTAACACAATTTGGCAAGAAAAAGAAGTGAGACACAAAAACTAGAAAGTAGGCCAGGCATGGTGGCACCTACCTGTAATCTCAGCACGGAGGAGGCTGAGGCAGGAGGAGGATAGTGAATTGAGGGCCAGCCTTGGCTATATAGTGAAATCCTGTCTCAAAAAAAGTATGAGTTAAATTGTTTACAAATGGTGTAGCTGGAAAATCTAAGAGACAGATAAGAAATTTCGGGAAGGTGGCTGGATACAAACTTCATACAGAGAAGCCATTAGTTTTTACCATCTAAACCACAGTCAGAAAAAGATGGACAGAAGACCATCTTTTGATAATGTAGCAACGTGAAAAAGAAACAGCTAGATAAATGGCAGAGCTGTGTACACCAGCTACGTGAGGAAACCGCAATGCTGCAAAAGAAAGTGTGAAGCAACACCACGAGGACAAGCCGTTCCTGGGATCACTACGACCCCATACGATCTCAGTTGGGAAGGTCAGTTGGGTTGTTTTGTTTTGTTTCTTTTCTTTTCTTTTTTTTTGGTGATACTGGGGTTTGAACTTGGGGCTTTGCTCCTGCCAGGCTGGCGCTGTAACGCTGCATGGCTCCAGCCTCTTTTGACTTCTTTTTGGTAGGGGGAGTAAAGCGAGAAGATTCAAATTATCAGGAGTCACGGCAGTTCACTAGGCCATCCGAGTGTACGGACAGATGGTTCATCGAAAGCCACGTGGTACCCAAGCTCAGAACACCTCACCAGCAGAGAGGAGGAGACCATTCAGTGACCAGTGTTGGGACAATGCGTCTACTCCCTATTTAGGAAAAGTGATAAGAAAATTGGGTTCCCACCTCAAAACCTACCTCGGAATAAATTTGATCTAACTGATAGATCAGCGATTTGAAGACAAAAAAATCAAAGCATAAAAGAAGTAGAACACAACACGGGGGAATTTTCCTTAATGGTCTCGGCAGGACAGGCCTTTCTCATGATGCAAAACCCAGAAGCCATAAAAGAAAAAACAAAACGGACCCCACATGATTACATAAAAATCAAAATTAAGTGTGAAGGAGATGCGTCCTGAAGTCAAAGGCATGCTGAGAAAATATGTGCAGCACTGTAGTTCCTTCACACATAAAGAGCTCCTGTAAACAAATAAGAAAAGGCCAAAAATGCAATAGATAAATGGCAAAACACATACACAGCTAGCTGACAAGAAAAGAAACAGGAACTGCTCTGGATATGTGAAAGAGGGTCCTCTCACCTCAGCCTCACTCATTTAGAGAGAGATGCACACACTTTTGGTCCCTGGGCCTTCCCTTGGCATGGTCCCACTGCTTTATGGTCAGCAGACTCCTCTTTGTCCACAGACACGGTCCCTCCATTAGTACCCTGATGTCAATGCACTTTAATCACCATGGTGACAGGGACTGTGCAGGATTCACCTCTGGGCCAATATGCCAATCACTATCATTGAACAGCTACTGGATGAAGAGAGGAAATGGTCCCAGTGGGTTCCAGGCCAAGCCCTTCTATGCCTGGAAGCTGTCTGCGTACCTCCCCACTTAACTTCCACCGCAGCCTGTGAGGTGGGTGTGAGGTGCCCATTTGCCAGATGAGAAGACTAAGGCCCACAGGGTGGAACAGGCCAGGACCCCTGGTCACCAGAAGTCTTTGCCAGATGCTTCTAGGCCCAGCCTCCTTACAGCCGTTGCCCAGAGCTTCCTGGGGGATGGTTTTTGGGGGCCTGGCCTTGGCTGGGCCCATGTGGTACTCACTTGTGCATGTAGACCTCGGAGCCAGCCGTGAGGTTCGCCTGCATCACCGCCTGGAACTCTGTCTCGTTGCAGCAGTATTTGAAGACTGTGTTGTTATGGTGACAACAGAGGATGAAGGTTTTGTTGTCCGAGAGCCGGGGACAGTGGAAGCCGAAGTGGTAGCGGCCTTTGTGGTCCGTGTACGGCTCACAGACCCGGAAATGCGCAGACAAGACTGCAAAAAAGAGTCGCCAGGCTCAGTGAGGTCCCTCGCCAGCCCAAGGGTGCAGAGGGGCAGAGGCTGGTGGCCCGTCCCTGGCCCTCTGTACTCTGCTAGGGACGGTCGTGCTTCCACTCTGGGTGGGGCCCCAGACTGTGGCTCCTGGAAGGTGGGAGGGAGGCGCTGCACCCTCCATCCAGCAACTGTGCATGCAGCTGGCGCTCAGCTAGGAAATAACAGACACCTGCTGTGTGCTTCACAGGCCATCTCACTGGACTCACGGCTGCTCTGGCAGGCAGGTTTGAGACTTCACTTTAGAGATGGAGAAACTGAGGCCCCGAGGCCTAAAGTGATTTGGCTGAGCTTAAATGGTGATGGAGCAGGAATGAGACCCAGGCCTGCCTGGGTTCCCACAGCCACCGTTCCTGTGTGGGCTAGGGGTAGGGAGCACTGACCAGCCCAGCCCAGGCTGTCCTGGGCGGCAGGTGATTTCGGTGCAAGACCCAGGTCTCCCTTGTGTCAAGAGCAGCAGCCTCTCTGTGCCTCCTTTTCCACTTGGTCAATGCTTGAGACCCCAAATCCTGCCTAGGTCACCCCCGCCCAACACACACAACGACAGCGCTGCCCTGGCCTCAGCACCTCGCGGGGAGGGGAAGGCGCCTACCAGTCCTTGCAAACCCAGGAAGGGTTTCTGAGAGACCATGGCGATGAACGGGAGCAAAAGCCTGGCTGTAACAATGGGAAAAAGCTGGAGCCGCTGTCTCCGGCTTAATTAGCATCTTCATAAAGGGATCGGTGTATCTAATTTGTATCCCTGAAAAGGGCTTCGTTGGCTGAGTACATGGCTCCAACCACAGAGGCACTGGCTCTGCACAAGCTCCTCCGGCGAGCTGGAGGCTCGGTGTCTGCGGAGAGGCTATGAGACGGCTGCCCACACCACGCACGCGCCCGCCGGGCAGCCGCCGAGGGGGTCCCAGCTGGGCCAGCTGGCAGGTGGGCGGGTGCTGGGCGCCGAGGCTGGCTTGGGTGGCCCTTGTGAAATTCTGCATCCCTTCCCCAAAGGCAGGCACCCTCTTTTGGGGAAGGCAGGCAGCTCTCCAGGCCCCTTCCCAACCTTGCCTTGGAGAAACAAGAGCCCCTCATGGGGGGTTGTGGAAGTCTGCCCTGGGAGAGGCACCAGCTGGCTTAGGCTCGTTTAAACCCAGTGTACAGAGGAGAAAAGTGGAGCAGTGGTTCTTCGGGGAGTGAGAAACAGATCCTGGGCCCTTAGGTGGCCCTGAAGAAGATGCCACTCTGGGGAAGGACCCTCTGTCTGTGTGCCTGAGCCCTCCAGGGATGCTGACAGGCTTGGATGGGGACCTCTGGCTTAGAGGAGCAGCATGGGTACTCAGGGTGGTCAATTCCACTCACTGTCCAGGGTGACAAGAAGTACTGCCACTGGTCTGCTCACACTCAGTCTACAGACAGCCGAGGGCTGGGCACTCGGAAAGACCAGCCCAGGGCTTGGATTAGTGTTCCAGGCTCCTACAGCATGCAGGGAGGGAGGAACAGAGTGGACAACGCATGGAGCAGGAGGCGAGGGCAGGCTCGGCAAGCAGAGCGTCCTGCTCAGCACCCAGCTCACAGCCCACCACAGCTGCCCCTGGACAGTCAGTACCACAGGTGTTGGCTATTGGCCAACTACCAGGAGGCCCTGCTGCTTCCCCCAGCTGAAAGAACCCTGGGCTGGGAGCCAGGACTGTGGGTGGGGAATATGGCGAGGCTACCTGGGCTCTCCAGCCTCCACCCCTCACTAGTGGAAGACCTTTGGCCTCCTGGGTGACAGAGGCTTCAGGGCCACTTCCTACACAGCA